CAAACCTGGGACTACGCTGGACATGGTAAGAGGGCGCATGGGTGGGTGTTTCAAGTAGGAACACGTTCTCCATGCAGGGGCACGCGGCAGCGCTGCGTATCGTGAGATGGCTTTTTGTCTTTTTTTTGGTCCTTTGTGTCTGTTTGTCCAGGACTCGATCCCTGCCCAGCTCTTCATCGTCGCTTCCTGGGCTCCATGGGGGAGGTGCAGGCTGCCGAGTCAGCCAGACGTCATCTCTGAGACCATGGAGGCAGATCCTGGCGGGGCCCGATGCCATCCACCAACATTCTTCAGGATGCCGAATCACACCTGCTGGTCACCTGTGACTGCGCGTTCGAGAGTCATGAACCAACAGCCCACAGGCTGTCTCCAAAGAGCAGTGCACGTAACTCACATATCAAACAAACACGCAGCCAAAGTGCTTCACAGAGCGACGGGATTAAAACGATAAAGAATTAAGATCTAAAATTAAATGCAAGGGGCGTGGGGTGAATTAAACCTCAACGCAAGTATAGAAACCAATAATCAGATTAAAAACTGAAATATTCTTACAATATCTGTTGCTTTATACTTGTACTACTATATACTATGAAAATCTCCTTCAGTTCATTAAATCTCTGATTATGCACAGCTACTCACTGTGTTTACACCAGACTGCTATAAAACAGCCGCACACGTTAGACGGGTCCGTTATATCTCAGTAATCTCAATAATCCATCCTTCCTTTCCAACTTTTTTAATGTAGTGGTTCATAATCGCTGCTGTGTCACATTTTAAGATTGGCTGTAACCACTTACAACAGGAAATACAGCAGAATTATGAGAGAATATTAATAATTAATGTTTCTCAGTTTGCCATTTTAGAAACTTTTAGGAAAAATCTTTTGATACTGATTTATTTTTCCTTTCAGGCTCATTGATCCTCAGACACAAGTCACTCGACTCAGGGTAAGATGATTTCTGTCTCCCTCTGCGTGGACAGCTTTGGCTTCAGACATGTTTCTAACGATTTACCGTCTCTTTCCTTCCCTCCTGCTCTCCTGCAGTTCCCTCTGTCCAGTGTGGTTCAGTGTTCGTCCCATCAGGACAACAAGAGGCTGTTTGGTTTCGTTTTGCAGTCGGCAAGCGAGCGGGGAGACAGCCGAGCCGTCTGCTACATCTTCGAGTCCAACAACGACGGAGAGAAGGTGGTCTGTGTTCATCTGTTAGTCCCACTGTCTCACACTCGGTCTGCTCCGTCTGATTCGTTTGTCTTCTCCCTCTGTTTCAGATCTGTGACAGCATCGGTCTGGCCAAGCAGATAGCCTTCCACTCTGAGATGGTGAGGCTGGTTTGAAACTTCATTACACCGAAGCTAATGCTAAACGCTGACTGACGACGGTAATGGTTACCTTCGGGTGTCGCCGTGGAGTTGAAGTGTTTTTGTCCTCTTGTTTTTGTTGTGTAGGACCGGAAGGCGGTGGAGAAGAGGAAGGAGCAGGACAAGGCCAAAGAGAAACAGCAGGAGGAACTCAGCAAACAGAGACAGATCGAGAAGGTGACCTGTAACCTTTTGTATTATAAACACATTTGTTTACTGGTACTCTTAATCAGTCTGTTTTACATATATTCACAGATTTAAGGGTCTGTTGTTGAAGAAATATTGTTGTGAAGCTCACTGACTCCACCAGTCACACAAAATATAAATAACTTTAAACCTTTACATAACTTAAACCAGTGACTTATATAAAAATCATCCCCCTGTACAGTTCTAGAGATCAAAACAGTTTTGTAGCAGGCTGTAAACATGTTTATTTCTGCTGTAAATCTGGGCATTTTAATATGAGGCCTTATGGAGATCGTTTGAGGAACCGCACTGAGGCTGCCGCTCGCCTAAAATGTCCCAGGGACATTTGTATTATGTCTTAATACATGTTAATACATCTTTAACCGGTCTCTTCCCTCATTTTGCTCCAGGATCTGGAGGAGCAGAGCCGTTTGATCGCCGCCTCGAGTCGCCCCGCTAACCCGCCCGGCTCTGATGGACAATTCCTAGTGCTTAGCAACAGCCAATCGGAGGACAGCGACGCCGGGGAGGAGGGGAAGAAGAGGGGCGAGTCTGAAGCCTAACAAAGCTGATGGAGGATGCATGTTTTTACCACCCAGGCAAGTCTCAGCCGGTACTGTCAAAGCAACGCCCACCCGCCCAGGTTGCTTGGGACGGAAACATGCGCTCCCTCCCTGCTGGACTCTGTTTGAAGTTTTGTTGTGGAGCCTGTCACTCTGAAAACGGAGGATAAACTAAACGCACCCTCACTATAAGAGGAGGAGGGGAGCAGGCGTGGAAACGTCTCGGCACAGACTTGAGTTTTATTCTGTGTGTAAAAAAAAAAAAAAAAACGCTGCTTTTTATACCGGCTCCACAGATATAGATTAACCTGTAAGTTTCAGTTTTTTATGTTTATTTTATAAAAAAAAAAAGAAAAAAAGAAGAGCTAACAGCAATGACAGAGGATTTAAAGCAAAGCATGTCCGGAATAATGAACCAGATCTGAAGGAGACGAGGAGAAGTTGACCACTAGGAGACCCCGAAGAGCAGCGGGACTCAGTGTGGTTGGGAGAGAAAGTGTGAGACACGATATTTTAAAACGAGAGAGAGGGAGAGCGCATAGAGTCTTATTTTGAAGAGTTCTTCCTGTTGTGATGTGTTCATCGACTGACCGTTTTTCAAAGCGTCCTGCAACCTTTTTTTTTTTATCTTTATCTTTATCCTTCCTTCCAAGTAGTCGCTGGTTTTCACTCATTTCACTGCAGAATGAAAATCAACTCAAAGTCTTAAAAGCTCAGCGATCAGTCGATCAATTGATTAGTCGATCGTCAAAATAATTCCTGTGATTAATCATCATTTAGGTTGTTTTTAATGAAATTGGCAAATATGTCTCTATTTGTCTATCAATTGGAAATACGATCAGCAAATCAACAGAATATAAAAATAATTGTTGGTTGCAGCCCTATTGATGTCATTATTGGCTGATTTATTGATGAGACTGATCGGAAAAGTCTTGCGTTGTCTCATTAGAACAGAAGCAAAGTCTCTGCGAGCTGATTTTCATAGTTTACAAAGATGAACTGAAGGCAGCGGCTGCGTGGGTTCAGAGCTCTACATCGTGTGTTCACGCGTCAGGTTGGGGAAATGTTTTTATCAGACTTATTAAGACTGGAGATCATTAAATCAGTTCTTTAGAGTGTTTAGGCCTCGGAAACACAGACACTGTTGGCGGTAACTGTTGCTACGGATACTGTAAACGCAATTATCTGCTGTTTTAAAATACTGACCACTGACATTCAGCAGTGGTTAAATTCTTCTTCTCTAGCCACAGTGAAAAGAGTTAGAGACAGTTATTTCAAAATTATGTTTTAAAAACAATGCTGAATCGTAAAATTGAGATTTAAGCTACAAATGTTATAATGCAGGGACTCTGTAAAGCCCCAATCAAGTCACTCATCTACACAAAAACATGTTTCCCCCTATAGTATGTCATATGAGAAGAAGGAGCCCCAATAATAAAACACTACAGACTTTATATTACAGTTTGTTCTAATAAAAGAAAAACACAGAGGAAAAAGGATCTATCAGGGACTTTTAATGCCAATATTAACTTTTTTAAGATCCAGAATAATTTAGTTTTTCTGTATTTGTTGACGTAATTGTAGAAAAACAACATATCATTAATGCTTTTGTCCCAGTTTGTTTGCAGTGTGGTTCCTGCCTCTTACTAAACGAACAGTTAACGCTCTCCCTTCTCGGTGCGTCTGGGATGTGAAACACTGCTCTGACGTATCGGAGGTCCGTCAACACGAGCACAAATCTGATCCGACGATCTCGCATTTATTTGAAAACGAATTTAAAAAAAAAAAAAAGCTCTGATAAGGTACATTTTATTCATTCAGTAAACTCTGAAGACATTTAACATGTGTAACGTCTTGATGCATGTTTCATAAAAACTCCAAATACTGAGTGTCAGAATATTTATCTGCTTTCACAAACGTTTAGCTGAATCGTCGCTTTGGGGCCTTTTTTTCTTTTTCTGCTTTTTCACAGGTTTTATTCATTAATCCGCCTTCATCCAGAGTGATTCACAGTGATTATCTGTAGGAAAACATCTGAATAAGCTTCAGTTACAACATCATGGACATTACATGTAGGGATGTTAAAGGTCAGAGGTCACAGCAGCCTGACAAACCTCTTCAGTCAGGCTGTGGAGACGTTTCTAAAAAAGCCTGAAATCAACAGTTACTGATTTTTATTTTCTTTGGGAGGATGTTTTCTCGCTGTAACCGGGTGAAGGAGCTGCACTTTACTGACGCAGGAGAACACGACGGGATCGATGATGTTGAACTGTAAATATGTTTCAGTGATAATTGTTTCTGTGTCATGAATAATAATAAAAAAGGCTTTTCAGTGATAAATAAAAGCACTAACTCCACCCGCCCGAGTCAGGATGCTCATGTTTTCAGATCAAACAAACCTCAACGAGCCAAGAGAAAGTGGAATTTTTTTTTACATTTATTTTAACTATTAATAGAAAAACAACCTCACATTGTCAGAATAATGACTTTTTGAAAATGTACAGAAAATAATTGATTTCATTTCATACATATTTTATACAAGTATTTAACAAATGTATAAAATTAAACTACAAACAAGGAGGAATCACAATTATATATTATTTTTTTCCAATTAACTTTACACCTAGTGCCCTTTTAACACATTTTTTTTAAATGAAAATGACAAAAGAAATTGACAATTTTGTTTTGTGAATATGATATTTGACTATTTGAAATTGATGTGAATTACAAGAGACATTACTTTTATAATTTCTCAACTGATCCTTTACAGTTTATTTTAAGCTGTTCAAGCATTACTTTTATTTTTAACAATTTATACCGTTAATATATATTTCAACAATCATCCGTTATTTGTAGCTGTTTCAGCAGATTATTCAGCGTGCGAGGAAACAGAGTTAGTTTATCTACTTCACAATGTGTCCGTGTATCACCGAGCTAAGGCAGAGCTCGTACTGGTCGGTCTGTATTTAAAAAAAAACACACAAACTGGCCTACATGACAACTTTATTCTGCTCTGAAATAAATATGAACAAAATTTATTGAATATATAAAAATAGACATTTTCATAAAGACTGACAAAAATAGCCATAATGTTAGTTTAAGTGTAAAAACACTAATGACAGAGGACAGATATAGTGTTATAACATCTGTGGTAAAGTAATAAGTGAATATTAGACAAACATACATAGAAATAATCTAGTGGATTGTCAGAAACCGGTTCCAGACACTGGATACTTGTTACACAAATAAATTAGATTTTTGATCAGACATTTGGCTTCAGAGTTACTTTATACATCAATAAATATTAAATCAATTAAGATCTGGAGGAATCCTGAGCAGATTATTTAGATCAGCAGTTCAGTCATCAGTTTTTTAATGGTTTTAGGAACTTTTCATTCAATTTTATGTCTATTTGTTTTACAATCATTCATCCTAAATTAACATTTAGTTTTATTCACAGAATTAGACGAGATGCAGAGATACAGTGAGCCTACAGTGTTTATATTTCCTTACACACCTTAAAATCAAGAAGGCCTCGCGACCCCCCAGTGAAACTTTAGCCGACCCCTAGTGGGGATCCTGACCCCCAGGTCGGAAACCACTGCTTTAAAGGAAGTTTACATTAAACTGTGCAGGAGGAAGTGATGATCGACAGGGTTTTCTGTGCGGCGTGCACACAGCAGTAAAATAACTTATTTATATGAAAAGGATCCTTCGTGTTTCTCCTGGATTCACTGGCTCGGCTCGCAGCAGACTGCCTGTCAGAACCCCGGAGCGTCACAACGCCGTCTACTGTTTAAGGATCTGGTCGGAGAGCCAGTCCAGACCCTCGACCAGACCTGTACCGCTGACGGCACAGGACGACTGGACAAACCACTGCACAGACACACAGAGGGACAAAGACGTCAGCTTAGCTTCAGACTGAAATAAGTTTAAACTCAGAGTGTGTGAACAGATTTGAGAGACTGATACCGAGTTTAGAGGAGAAAAAATAACAGATATGGCAGCTGATGAGTACATTCTTGAGCTGGAATGAAAATAGAGTTTTTCTATGTGGATTGTGCACCGATAGACTTAAAGGTACTCATGAGGCTGCTTTCTGAAACAAATGTCACACAATGGTAATGTTGTGTTCACGCCACAGACGCCTACCGGCTGTGAGACTCCTGATAGGCTCAGGGCCTCTGTGATGTCACCGACGGACATGGCTCTGGGCAAATCTTGTTTGTTAGCGAATACCAGTAAGGCCACGCCCCTCAGCTCGTCTTCCTCCAGCTGCAACACACAAACACAAACGGTGAGTTTAACGGGAAAAGTTAACGGGGGTTGAAATTAGTTTAAAATTCAGATATCTTTAGATAAGATATTTTTGGGGCTTTTTTCTGGCTTTTATTTGAGAAGAAGACAGACAGGAAAGTGGAGAGAAAGAGAGGGACAACATCCAGCAAAGGGCCGCAGACTCTACTTTAGGTGAGCTACCATGCGCCCCCTGGTGTTTATATTTGGTATTACTGCAACAGCTGCAGTACTATAACTACCAGCTCTGTAGCAGTCACGTCCGATCTCAGACATACCACACATCTTCTATATTGTCTCAGACTCGGCTATTGGTCTCGCAAATATTTTAGTAACATCCCCCTTTAAAGTCCACATGAAACAGAAATGAGAGAGCTATTGACTTCCACACATTTAGAAGTATTTCCTGTAAAAACAGGCACCTAGTGAGGGAAAAATGAGCAGATTTCAACACAAAAATCCAATTGAGTTTTTGAATTTTTTTTGGCATACATTGTTAAACAGAGGTAGAATAAAACCAAAGATGCAATCTTAAAGGGTTAATATAACATTTTAGAACGCGCACTGACCTTCACTTGCAATCATATTCCTGGCTGCCAAAAAACTGATCTTAGTGGCAATGGAAAATGAGATAAAAAAAAAGTCTACTACAGTTGCTGCTTTAATCAGATGACCCTGAACTAAT